GATAAGGAGGTGAGGTAGGTCAGGAAACATGCCCAGTGTCCTCCAGCTAGTAAGGTGGTGGAGATGGAATCCAAAGCTACCCTTGTCTGATGCTCATTCCATAGACATGAGGACAGTTGAGCAGTCATTTAAACAGTAGTATCCAGGGGTGTTGCTTCATTTCCTTGAATGCCCTTCCTCTCAACATTAGCGTGAACATTTACGAAAAATGCTGCTAATATTCTGAAAGGGACCCTCTGTGTGCCTTTCAGAGGGTCACCTCAGCCAGGTATGCACATTTCTTACTAAGCTGGCTGCTAGCTCTCATGACTACAAATACCTTCCTCATATGTGTTGCTATGGAGGCAGTGTTGTAGGGTCATGATTTGAATTCTTTTTATGTCTCTTGAATCCATAAAGTTCCCCCTGGAGTCATTGGTTCTGCTGCCTTTGAGAAGCTGCTTCCTTCTTTCTTCCCCGCGTTTGACTTTGCTCCTGATTTGAGCAAGGCAGGCAGCAGCAGCAGCAGCAGCTTCCAGCCCAGGCAGGCTTCCGCTCAGCACCACTGGTGCAGCCTGAAGGGTGTCTGGCTCTCTGCACGCCCTACCTGGGCGGTAGCTACTGAGAGCCCTCCCCCCTGAGCCTTCCTGGGAGCTGGGCACCTCCCCCTCCAGGCTGTGGATCACCTGTCAACAGGGGGAACTGGCTGGCTGAGACTAGGATTTCTCCTCACTGCTGTTGTTAGGGAAACAGACAACCATCTGCATCTAGACCAGCCTCTCGCCTTTCTCTCTCCCTCTAGAGAGTTTTCTGCCTGGAATCTGGTAAGTGCCACAGAGGACTGCGCTTATTTTCCTTGGTTAACATCAGGAGAATGTTCCCTTGTGATGGATTCATTAGTTTTAAATGTGCTGGAATTTGGGGATCCTTCCCTCCCCCCTCCCTCCCTCATCTCTCCCTTCCTCCCTCCCTCCCTCCCTCCTCCCTTCTCCCTCCCTCCCTCCTTCCCTTTCTTTTTCTTTTTCATATCCATGAAACATTTTTTGCAAGCTTCAAAAATAAAAATGTATATAGTGAAAAATTTTAATTATGTATTAAGCCTCTGGCATCTGGTTTGAAACCTATTTTTTCCAGGGCACTAACAAATGATAAAGCAGACAGTGCTCTCTGGTGCCTCCCCCTTCCCTTTTGTGAATCAGTGACTGCATTTGTCATCACTGTCTTCCTGAAATGTTAGAAATAGACACAGGGAAGGGATCAGTCATGCAGAGTTCAGAAATTTCACCCCCAGGTGAAATGAGGGACGATCTTTAATTTCTTTATTTTTGACTTCTTAGACTTCATGGTGTGTTAAGCTTAATTTAAAGCATGGCTAATGCAGCCAGGTTATCACGGGACAGGTGCGCCTCTTCATTGTTTTAGATTTGCCTCCTGGAATACAAATACCTTCCTTGTTTGTTTTATAACCTTTACAGGAAATGTTTGAGGATGGGTCACATGACTCCTAACTTTAGCTTTCACTTGTGTTCACACAGATTAAGTGGCTTGCTCATATATGGATATTCAAAATTTATAATTTAAAAATTACAAATGAGGGGCCTGATAATTAGATTACTATTCATTGTCTCTCCCCCCACATTCCTCAGCCTCCACACATATAAAGTTGTATTCCGTTTAAGGGAAAATAAAACTGGCACTTAATATTTTCTTGACTCTGAGTTAAAGAATACTCACGATAAACATCTTTAAAATACGTCTAGCCTGAACTGGTTTGGCTCAGTGGATAGAGCGTTGGCCTGCGGACTGAAAGGTCCCAGGCTCGATTCCGGTCAAGGGCATGTACCTTGGTTGCGGGCACATCCCCAGTAGGAGGTGTGTAGGAAGCAGCTGATTGATGTTTCTCATCCAGGTTTCTAATTCTCTATCCCTCTCTCTTCCTCTCTGTAAAAAAATCAGTAAAATATATTTAAAAAAACAATTAAAATACGTGTAGAAATTAACCTCTAGGAGTCTATCATCTATTTAAAGTTAATCTCAGTGACAGAAATTAGTGTGGTTCTACCTTTATTTATTCATTTAATTTTTACTTCTAACACACATGATGCTTTCAGGCAAATCTGTAATTGGAGGAAAGTTGAATGATGCACTACTGGAATGGAAAGCCAGGGCCATGCCTGCTCCTTCTGGGGGGTCTGTCCACAGCCTAGGACGAGGGGCTGAGGAGCACCTGTGGACTCCAGTCCTGGAGGAGGAGCCCCGCATGGGCAGCAACTTGAAGCCATGTCGTAAAGAACACTTGTCAGAGGTCTTCAAAACCATAGTGTTTGTCATCTGTGAAATCGAACTTCTGGCCCGGTTTGCGCGATGGTGACTTCTTGTTTTGCTTTAGTGTCATGTGGTCTTGGGCCCCTGGTTGTGGGAGAAACAGTGGAGC